CGTGGCGCGACCAGGACACGGCCGCGTGCGAGACCGCCGCCATCAAGGCCGTGCAGGCGATCGTCCCGGCGTGGGCGCTTGTCAACAAATGCACGGATGCGCGCGGCCTCGCCATCCGCACGAACGGCTACTCGTTCGTATATATATGTTTCGATCAGCTTTTGCCTATAGCTTAGCTGTAAAAAATCATCATCATCATCATCACCATCATCACCACCACCATCAATCAGCCACCACCCGCACACGCAGCATGCTCTTGGGAGGAGGACCAGGGAAGAAGAGGTAGGAGGGAGGTAGGGAGGAGGGAGGGGGGCAGGGGAGGAGGGAGAGGTAGGGAGGAGGAGAAAGAGAAGGAGGGATGATGAGATGCCAGCGGTCAGGAGCCTCAAAGACCACGGGAGGGGATGGCCTCCAAGAGGGATGACCACCAAAAGGGCCTCAGGGGGGTGCCAGCGGCTAAGAGCCTCTAGAGGGAGGGCCTCAAGCCTCAAGGGGATGGCCTCCAAGAGGAGGAATGCCAAGAGGGCCCCAATCGGCCCATGAGCCTCCAAGAGGGCCTCAAGCAGGGCCCATCATGAGCCTCCAAGAGGGCATCCAACAAGAGAGAAAACCAAACACAATTGGTGATCCTGCAGGCCACTTTGGGCCTCATGGCCTGAAGGGCCCCCCCACTGCTGGAGGGCCCCGAGACGGCTCCAAGAGGGCCTCCAGAGAAGAAGGCCGATCCCTGCTGGTGGAACCTCCACCTGCTGTCTGTGTCCGTAGCGATCTGGTTTCCAGGAGCCGTCCGGGCAGCGGCGGCACCAGAAGGACCCCCCCCTGTCTGGGCAGCGGCGGCGCCATCATGGTGAGCACGCCTGGCTCGCCGACATCCTCCGAAGAGGCCCCGAGTCCGCAAGCGGTGGCGACAGAGACCCGCGAGACGCGGGCGGCGCGGAGCGACCTCTTCAACCACGGACCGCCTCTTCGAGAGAGCATTTGGTTCGCGCCCATCAGAATCGAGAGGAGGCCCAAGCACAGAATGGGCGCGTGCGGAGTGTGGCTGACCACGAAGAAACATCGGACCGACAACAACGACGAGGAGCAGCCCGCCACGAGCCCCGGGGTGAGGAGGGAGGAGGTCATCGTGATCGACTGATCCGCTTAGTAGGCTTCCACCAGTGCCAGGCGTGATTTAGATTCGAAGGCTTGGTTTGTTGCATGCACTGCGTGTTCGGAGGTCGGCTTGGGTCCGTGGCCGACCGACTTGGAGTGAAACGACAGGGGTGATGGGGGAGGGGAGGTGCGGGGAAGGGGGGTTGGGGGCTCTGAGGGGGGCGGGATGAGGAAGGGGTCGGGGGCTCGAGGGCTCTGAAGGGGGAAGAAGGTTTCGGGGGCTCTGAGAGTTCTGAGGGCTCTGACAACAGGGAAGGAGGGGGGGTCGGGGGCGCCCTGAGGGCTCCGAGGGGGGTCAGGGGCTCTGAGGGCTCTGAAGGGGAAGGAGGGTCGGAGACTCCGTGAGGTTGGGGGGGCTTGTGATGGGGGCTCTGAGGGGGGACATGGGGCTTGGGGGCCCTGGAGGCGCACCTCCTGACAACAAGGGGCTTCCAGGGGCTCCCTGCGGACGCTCTGGGGAAGCCCCCAGGGGGGCTCCGGGGGCGACTGGAGTCCCTGCGAAAGTTTCGAAGATGTCTCGAGCGGGGCGCCCCTCCTTCATCTCGTCGCCAGTAGTCCGACCAACAAGTCGTTTTCAGAGTCCTCGGGCGCGCGGCCCAGGTGCCACAGAAGTATGGTTGTTGGGTCCTCGCCAGACTAAGTTTCTATTTGAAGTTAACGTCGGGGGGAAGTACCGCTTACAGTTCTATGTGTGGTCAGCAGTGCTTGGAGCGCGCCAGTCGACTGATCAGCAATGACAAGCATCATAACCCATTGCGTTTTGTGCTTCTGCATAACAAATCGAATCTCCAGATTCCTGGTCATTACTTGAAGTCGGAAGCGGGCAATCGCGACTACAGCCTGGGGTGCCCGAAGTGCAGGAATGTACCAAAAGGCTGGATGGGGCGGGTTGCGTGAAACATGTTGATGAAGAGTCAGGTATTCGAGAAGGAACCCAAGAGGGTAGCAATGTATGTTGAGAAGAATGCGTGGCGCCCAATGTACATACATCTCTCGACGCCTCGCCTCCCCGCCCCCTTGATCCACCAAATTACCCACTCCCCCTCTCCCCTCCCCTCCCTCCAAGGCGGGCCGTGCCCGACCGAATGCTCACGTGTGCCGGGCCGCGCCTGGCGAAATTCTCTGTTACAATTGCTATCGCATTTCATTTAATGCGTGTTTGTGCAGACGTCAGGCTGTGGGCGGTGCCGCGCCTTCGCCGACAGCAACGACAAGGGGTTCTTCCGCAGCGTCCCGGACAACTGGGTGGTCCGCCACAGGGCCGCGTGATGGCAGGTTTTGCAGGGTGGGTTGCGCAGCTGGCCAGACAGCAAAGACACTCACGGTGGCTGCCAGCATGCTGGCATGCGGCCGCTTAGCATTCGTCGTCGTCATCGTTAGTAAAAAAAATGTGTCCAATGCCGCCTTAGAAGCCTCGGGGCCCATCTGAGAAGCCCCCTGCCTGCTGAGAAGGCTGCGCCACGCAATGGGCTTGAACCAAAATGGCCACGGACATCTTGGAGTGGAGGGAAGAAGAACAAGAAGGGAGGAGGGGGCGGTTAGGAGGAGGGGTATGAGGAGGAGTGAAAAGGAATCAGAGGGTAGTAGGAGGAGGGGATGACGAAATGAATGGTGGGTAGTAAGATGAAGCGGTTGTGTGAGTCAGAATTGTTCACGCTTCGCGAACCCCCGCCAGCCCATCCTAAATTAGCCATCTTTGCGAAATGCTCTGCTTATCGGAAGTTGCGCTCTTTGCCTGGGCACTGGAGGCCAAGCGCGAAGAAGACGACGACGACGACGACAGGAGTCAATATCAGCACTTTTGCTATCGTTCGCTCTGGGGGTGTCTTGTAAACCTCTGCAGGCCATCGTAATGTGCGACGACGACGGCTACGTCGAAACCGACGACGACATGAGTCAATATCAAGACATTTGCGATCGTTTCCTCTGGGAGCGTCTTGTTGTGACCCTCTTTTTAGAAGGGAATGGAAAAAGGAACCTGTTTAACACGCTCACGCCCTAAAGGGCTGGTGGGATTGCGGTGGCACGCGCTGCGTTCTCTGGGCGTGGGGGGTCATGCATCATGGTCAGCTGTAGGGCCCAAGGGAGCACAACTTATTGCGTTTCTCATGTCGGTTTCCTCTGATGCAACCCTGCCTAGTGCACCTCCTGATAGTATAGGGGATGATGGAAATGACGCTTTGCCGGAAGAAAGTAATAGCGCTGGCATAAGTGATGCATCCCTTCCAGACGAGCAGTCTGACCACGATTGCATGGAGAGTGAAGGGGACTCGTTGCCTGGCGATGTTGAGGAGGAGACGCGCGAAGACTTCGGGGAAGCTTTCGTGGATGGGGATGAGGAGCAGGAGGCCATGCAAGCAGCATTCCATGCCACTACGAAGGATCGTCACAGCGTGCCTCTGCCAACAGAGTGCAATTTGTTAGGTCCACATGACATTGCAGAAGTGTATTCGCCGCCAAGGCTGTTGCCAGCAGCCAGAAGACTAGGGCTGTCTGGAACCCTGTCGTGCGACATCCTGACAGGGTGGGATTTCAGTCAGACTAGCATCAAAGCTAAATTCTTCGAGTTTCTTGTTCAGCTCAACATACTGTTCATAATGATGAGCCCACCATGCACTATGTTTTCAGCGCTGCAAGCTTTATGGAATTTGAAGCGCATGAGCAGGGATGTCGTTGACAGGCGCATGAAGGAAGCGCTTGGCTTCATCGAGCATTGCATGGCACTCGCGACGACCCAAATAGAGAGATCGAATTTCTTTTGCTTCGAGCATCCAGCGTCTTCTAGTGCTTGGAAGTTGGAATGTGTTCAGGAGGTAAGTCGGCTCCCTGGGGTATTCAAGATCAAATTCGATCAATGTCAATGTGGCTTGATGACCCCGCTTGGTCGCCGTCCAATGAGGAAGCGCACAATTTTGATGTCTAATGCCCATAGCATTCGACGCAACTTCTCGAATCTCATGTGCAAAAGAGATCACGAGCATCAGCTTGTAATGAACAGTGAGTGCGGTATGAAGCTTTCTGTCTGGGCCCAAATGTATCCCCAGCCAATGATCGAAAAGCTGGTAGAGTCTGCAGCAGAGCTCAGACGTAATCGTGGAGGCTAAGCATCCACGTGCACGTTGCGCCTGCGAACTTTTGAGCAGGCCAATGGATCTGATTGCATCGTGCGCGGGCGCAGCGGTGATGTAAACATTTCCCCCCTCTTGCCCTTCCCCCCCTCCCACGATTGTTATCGTCCGCTTTCGCAATGGATTAAATCCAGAAACCCGGCAGATCGCATCGCATTGGGGGGTGGGCAATCCAGCAGATCCAGCAGATCCATCAGATCCAGCAGATCCGGCAGATCGCGTCCCACACGATTCCGGCAGATCTGCGCGGTCCCCGCGCGTGGACATCCCAACAGAACTGCTGGGAAAAATTGATTCCGGCAGATCCAATAGGGTTTGGGCCTCCCCCTCTGCCGTTGGCTTGGTGGGGCCCCGCTGCTGCCCCTCTTCCTCTTCTCATCCTCACCTATGGGGGGGGCGTGATCCAGCGCAACTGGGCGCTGTCCTGAGAGGGGGGGGGGACCTGCCAGGAAAAATTATTTCCTGCTGGTGGTGCTGGCGCGGGCACACATCCAACACATCTTACCCCCGCGATGTGAAGGGGGGGGGTTCTCTTGGATCCCTGCGGCGCCCAGGGGCACCTGCAGGAAAAAATTATTCCTGGCTGTTCTCCCCCCCCCCGCGCACCCCCCCCATGATCTGCTGTGGCGTTGTGGTGCAAGCCTTGGATGCTGCAAAACATCCTGACGCGACACTGTCTGACGCGACACTGCTGAACATCACTTCCTGGCCAAGGCCATGTTCGAAGACGGCGGCGATGAGTCTCAGTACTTCATGTCGCGCCTGGACTTGGGGGGTGTTGGTGGCGGCGGTGCTGATGATGCGGAGACCATCCCAGGGATCATGGATGTCGACACCGCCCAAGGGAATCTTGACGAGCCGGGGCTCTTGGTCAAGAAGTTGCATGAGGAGTTCGAGCCCATGGTGTGCGAGATGGGGGGGCCACGTAAATACATCATGAGTGTCTTGGATGGGGTTCAACAGCAGGGGAAGTTTGCCGAGTGGTGCTGGACCGCTGAGGGGAGGGACTGATGCATGGTAGGATGTGTTTTGTATTGTCCCACTCATTTGCATTCCCCGACCCGCTGCCCACTCATCCCCGTTACCCCTACCCGCAGGAGCGAACACCCACCCGCCATTTGACAGTCAGACAACAGGCGCAACGCATAACATGAGCAAACAGATTGTGTTTCTATAGTTTATGTGGTGGTACCAGCAGTGGGAAGATAGTAACATATAGGTAGCACCCCTACACTATAACGAGTCTGCGTTACTTGTGGAGTGGGTGCAGCTACCTATCAGCTCTCCCATGTGGGTTGCATGTGGATGCCTTTGGTCGTTGAGGTGATTGCACCACTCTTGCGTCTATCTAGCGCGCCATGTTAACATTCGTTTGCATGGCGAATCTAATCTGCTGAGTTTTCCCTTGTCGGCGCTGCCTTGAGGAATACGTTCCCGGAGAAGGATGACGCCTTCTATTGCCATGGCACAGACATCCCCACGGTGAAGGATGAGGAAGAGTTGAAAACGTCTTCTGAAAGCATCAGCTCGGTGCACGTGGCCGCATTGGGATACATGGACTCAGTATCCTTGAAGCCGCCGCCGGGCACGCAGAAATTCAGCAAGTTGCTCGACCAGATGTGCGTGGACGGGTTCGTCACAGGCTCAGAGCCATTGTACATCACGATGCCACAGGAGCTGTCAGACTTGCCCCTTCCGCGCTTCTGGTCCAACCCTCGTAATCAGGCTGAGATAGTGGCGAAATCCATGCTGCTTGCGTCTCAATTCGTGGATATGTGTACATAGATACATATATATGATTGGTGGGAGGAGGAAGAGGAGGGAGGAGGGAGAAGGAGAAGGAGGAGGAGGAGGGAGGCCGAGGAGGAGGCAGGAGGGAGGATGAGGAGGAGGAGGAGAAGGAGGAGGAGGAGAGGAGGGAAGAGGAAGAGGGATGATGATGAGGAGGAGGAAAAGGAGGAGGGAGGAGGATTTCCAGCCCGCGGCGTGATGTCTTATGTACACTGCTCGCCATAGTGGTGGCAATAGTATCCAGGGACCCGGGGGAATTGAAAAACATGTTGGCAGGGCGAGACTTGGGGCCTTTCCTTAAAAGACCATCTAGGCAATAGAAACGCTTGAAACAATTTGTGACCACATTGAGGCTTTAACGCTGGGGACGGCATCTCTCGGCTACATCAAGGGGAACGCGCGCACGGCCACGTTGATTTCGATCCTCGTGTGGTTGTGGGACCACGATGTTGACATCAAGACTGTTCACCCGAAGTTTTACGAGTCTGTCCGCGAGATACGCGTGGTCAGGTTCGAGTGCGCCTCCCTTTTGAGCCAGGCGCTCCTCAACATGAAGTTTTCTGTGCGCGGGAGCATACGAACCTCCAACAACATTATCCAGTGCACCATCATGATTAAGAACCTTGCCAATGCCAACGCGTGCGGCCCCACTGAGTTCGTGAAGAAGTGGAACCAGCAGTCGGGCCAACAGCACAAGTTCACTGCCAAGAGGGTGACGAGCCTCAAGCTGTTGTTCGAGACTGCGCCCCCAGGAGCGCTTCAATCAATTCTTGCCCACGTGGAGGACTGGTGGGTGTTTTCGAATGCCCTCCCACGCCATAAGTGTAGTAACACGAGGAGTTGTAGCAGTAGGAGCAGCAGCAGGAGCAGCAGCAATAGTATTCGTAGTAAGTTGTAGTAGTAGTAGTAGTAGTAGTAGTAGTAGTAGTAGTAGTAGTAGTAGTAGTAGTAGTATTGGTAGTAGTAGTAGTAGTAGTAGTAGTAGTAGTAATAGTAGTAAGTAGTAGTTGTTGTTGTAGTAGGAGGATTAGTTGTAGTAATCGTAGTCGGAGTGGTAGTCGTCGTGAGGCAACGTCTGACACTTGCTCGCTCCCCACATTTCAGACGACTGGTGCGTGGCAGAGGGGGGGAGGGGAAACAGTAGACGTGTGCATGCTTATTCAAATTAGCTTTTCAAACCCATAACCTTGGTCAATAGCTTTGATATGTAGCTCTTGGGGCACCATGCGCAGAATTGTCTTTTTGAGTAATCCAACGTGCTCTGTCAGGAGCACGGCTGGGAGAACTGCTGCTGGAGCGACGACAACCTGTCGAACAAGAAACTGTACCCGGACCACACATTCTCCACCGGCTCCAAGAAGAACTGGGCTGGGCGCCTCAGGACTTCAGCAGAGAGCATGCTACTGGCCGTGCAACGCGCGCACACCGTGCACAATATGAAGCCGTCCTTCATGCGGAGGAAGTTTGACAACACGATGGTGGAGACCATCAGCATGCGCGCCGCGTTCGTATTATCGGTCGCAGCCGAGTTCACGAGCTGTACCCCTGTGCCGGAGGAGCAGGCGCGCAAGGACTTCGTTGACTCATGGGCGAAGGGTTCGGAGCAGATCGATATGGAGTTGTCCAGCGTGCTCGCTGAGATGCCAGAGGACAGTGGTACCAAACTTCATGTAACAGTATAAAAAATAAGAAACTCAACACATACTTGTTTGATTATGCATACATGTTTGAGTCAGGACTTCGACCCATGCAAGCACATCCCATCGCTGAAAAACCTGTTGGACATGCACATTTTCCAGGCGCCTATGGGAAATGACGAGGGTAAGAAGGAGCAGCTGCACATTGACGAGTTCCAGCTGTGGAGCCGCCAGAGCGAGTTTGATGTCCGCGCGTTCCAGACGTGGCGCAAGAAGATCAACATCGAGGTCGGCTCCAGGAAGGCCAGAGAGCAGGAGATGAAGATGGAGAGGCACAACCAATGCAAGCAGGCCGCGGACACCTTCCTCCGGAGCTGTGTCAAGCTCACCTGTCAGACGCAGCCAGAGAAGCTCGTCGCAGAGCTGATCGACTGGAAGCGTGGCCAGATTGCTGCGCGGACTGGGTGCGCAAACATCCCACACGTGGCAGGGCTAAAAACATACCGATACCACCCGCAATAATGGTGACACAATAATGTGAAGAGGGTGACGATGACGACGATGGTAACTACGATATGGGCGAATGTGATAGGGTGAATGATGATGATGAGGGGGAGGAGAAGGAGGAGGAGGAGGAGGAGGAGGAGGAGGATGGGAACAGGAGGGCGGAATAATATAGGATAGTGAATAGCAATATCAGTAGCAGTTACACCAGAAGCGTGAACAACAAACATTACGAGAAGCAGGATGTCGGTGGGCGTGATGCAGTGAGCTGCGCTCTGCCAGGTCTTGGTTGGGCAGATAGCCTAAGGGGCCCCCGCTGGAACTCCAACAACACTGGAAGTAAACGTTTGCCCCCCTGGCCTCCTACAGAACCCCGTGCGTCCTACGAAAGAGCGTTGAAACATATAGGAGGAAGAGGAGGAGGAGGAGAAGGAGGAGGAGGAGGAGGAGGAGGGGGAGGAGGAGGAGGATGAGGAGGGAGAAGGGGGAACTGGAGGAGGAGGAGGAGGAGAAGGCTTTTTGGTTTTCCCAGGTGCTGTTAACGAACTGGTCAGCTCCATGCCGCATCACCGAGGTGCAGTTCAACAACCATATCCACGTCATGGCCTGGGCGGTGGCTGAGTCTCCAGATTCGGCTGGCGTTGTGATGATGCCGACCTGGGCGTATGGCCATGGCAAGTTGGCCCTTGAGGAAAACAAGGCCATGAAAAAACTGACAGAGGCAGGCGTGTTCAATGTTGACTACAACTTCGTGGCGGTGTTCAAAGACCAGATAGACCCTCGCGATGGCCGACCGATGATCCACCCAGGCCGCATCGTGCTGCCAAACACAATCAGCCCGAACAAGCATCCTTTCTTCTCGAGCGAGCTCTTGAAGACCAGGAAGACGCCAGAGGTCGCGCAACTTAACAGCCGCCTCTTGAAAGCCATGGAGGACCTCAACCCGAATAGCCTGCCTACCAGCATCAATGCGGCCAACACCGCCATCCATGGAGCTGCCAAGTACTCGCAGATAGGCCCGGACGCGTGTGGCGTCATCATTGCCGAGCTCGTGAAGGGCTCTGGCGTTGCTAACTCCGCTGCCATCTTGTGCGTTGACTTGGTCGCGGACGTGGGGGACTGGCTCTTCGGGTTCATCAACACCAGGCGGACGTACAGTACATCGATGTTCTACTTCGGCATTACCTCGAACCAGGTCGAATTGGATTGGCTGGAGGCCCACGCCAGGGATGAGATGACCAGGAAGTTCTCTTTGGGCGAGATCCCGCTCCCCGGCGGCATGAAGTTGAAGGACCCTTAAAGGGAACATGTTAATAATATTCCTCCCTGCTTAAGGGGAAATAATGATGGCCATGACGACGGAGGAGGGGCAGGATGATCTGGTTGAGCAAAACAGGCTACAGAAGCAGAGGAGAGTGAAGGAGGGGGGGGAGGGGGTGGGGGGAGGAGAGGGGCAAGGAGGGCGAGGGGGAGGAGGAGAGGGGCAAGGAGGGTAAGGAGGAAGAGGAGGAGGCGGAGGAGGAGGAGGAGGACAGACAGACAGACAGAAGGGCTGTCCTCGCTTGCCGGCGCCGCGCCGGCGGCCACGAGCAAGACCACGACGACGCCGCCGAGGCAGAGGGCACCCCGCCCGCGCCCGCCCCAAATAATCACCATCAGGAGCCCCATGCAGTTCCAGGACCCCCCAGGGACGCACGTGGTGGACTCCTAATGGGGCCCTCCTAGGGAGTTCCAGAGAGCCCGAAGGAGCATTTAAAGGAGGCCCAAGTAGCCACAGAGAGCCCCAGAGAGCCCCAAGCAATTCCAGAAAGCCCATGGTAGACTTTGCCACCTCCACCCAGTGGTGGAGGAGGATGAGCAGGGGGAGGATGAGGAGTGAATCGGATAACGATGTCACTACTATGCAACTTTAGATCGCACCCCATAGGAGGTCACCCCTGCTGAAACGGACATGCCGGCGATACCGACGCTGCATCAGTTGGTCATCGGGGGCGCCAACAAGGATCTTGATCAATTCCTCTCTCTCACACTCTATGTCCCCTCCCATCCCTCGTCGAACCCCATCCCCCACCTCCTCTGCCCTCGCCGCACCCTCCTCCATCTTAGGACAAGCTGTACATTCACAAATCGATGGTCACAAAGTGGCTCAGCATCCCCACAGTGTCTGCGGGATTCCAAGCGTGGCTGGACACCTTCACTGAGCAGGGGTATCTTATCATGGACGAGGAGGCTCAGAAGCAGGAGGCCGAAACCAAGAAGCGGGGCAACAACCCCACTCCCGAGGAGAACTCCTGCCCCTCGCCGGTCAAGAAGGCCAAGGTGGGTAGGGGGCTCCTGCGCCCTCAATCGGTCAGTCAGTCAGCAGTCAGGCAGTCCTCCTCCTCCTCGAGCCTCCTGCTCTTCCACACCCTGCTGTTGCAGACGCTGTTGCTGTATCTGTTGCTGCTCGTCCTCCTTCCTCGTCCTCACGTTATTCCTATTCTTCTCTCTGGTCCAGTTCCTTCTCTTCATCATCATCCCCTTCTGCCCTCTCCTCCTCTTAATGCTACTGCTCCCCCTCCCTCCCCGCCCGCCCCTCCCTCCCTCTGTCCCTCATCCTATCCTTCGTCAAAGGTCCTCACCCTATCCTCTGTCCATCATCCTATCCTCTGTCCTTCATCCTATCCTATCCTCTGTCCCTCTGACCCTCATCCTGTCCCTCTGTCCCTTTGTCCCTCCTCCCCCTCCCTCCCTTCCTCTCCGCGACGACGACGACGAAGGGTCAAGGGACCCTTCGTCATCGTCGTCGTCGTCGGCGGCGGCTCGTCGTCGTCGGGGAAGGGGAACGAGGAGGCAGGATGAGGATCGATGAGCGAGGAGAACACCGACAAGGGAGGGAGGAGGAGGAGGAGGAGGAGGAGGAGGATGAGGAGGAGGAAGACGATGAGGACCATGGTGACCGTGATGATGGTAATGGATGATATCAAAATCTTTGGAGAGAGAAGAGAGAGAGAGAGAGAGAGAGAGAGAAACAAGGAAGTGGAGGAGGTGGGGGAGGAAGAGGAGGATGAGGACCTTGTGCCCCCATCCCGCCGCCACCAGGCGGAGGAGTTCGGCGTCCACACCTGTGGGATCACGTTATCCCCAAAGGTCCCGACCGTTTTATTTCGACCCCCCGGCCGCCCGCAACTCCAAGGGGGGCCGCCCGCATGCGTCACCCACACCTATTTCGGCACGGCCCTCACACGTTTCGTGGCCCCATAGGGAGCACCACCACCACCGAATGTCCCAGTGACGTCGCCCGCATGCGCCACCCACCACACCAATTTTTTTGGCGCCCCCTGACACGTTTCGGGGCCCCAAAAGGAGTTCTTCCACGGAAGATCCCAGTGGGGCCGCCGGCATGCGTCGCCCACGCAAATTTGAGCACACCGCTCATCACACGGCGTTTCGCGGCCCCATAGGGAACTCCACCACCGAAGGTCCTGGGGGAGGGGACACCCGTCACATGTTTCGCCGCCCACGCCCACCATGACGGCACACCCCTTAAATGTTTCTTCGTGGCCCCATAGAAGAGAGCTCCACCGAAAGTCCTGGGGGAGGCCGCCGGCATGCGTCGCCCACACCCACCATGATGTCGGCACGCCCCCCACATGTTTGTGGCCCCATAGAGCCCCATTAAAAGTCCTAGTGGGGCCGCCGCCCGTCGTTTGCGTCACCCACACCCACTTCGGCACACCTTGCACGCGTTTCTTTGTCCCATAGGGAGCTCCACTGAAGGTCTCAATAATGCCACCGCCGCCCGCATGCGTCTGCCACACATTTTTCGGCACACGTCGTTTCGTGGCCCCGAAGGGAACTCCACCGAAAGCCCCCTGTGCCACCGCCCACCACATGATGCGTGACCCACACCCCCCCTGTCGGCACACCCTCACACGTTTCGCGGACCCACAGGAAACACCACCGAATGCCCCCGTGCCGCCGCCCCCATGCGTCACCCACACGCATGTTGGCAAGCCCTGCACACGTCCCCTGGCCTCAAAGGGAGCTCCACCGAATGTCCCAGTGGGGGGGGCCGCCTGCATGCGTCACCCACACAAATCAGTTCGGCACTCCTCTCACACGTTTCGTGGCCGCGCAGGGAGCTCCACCGAAGGTCCCAGTGGGGCCGCCTGCATGCGGCACCCACCCGCGCGAGTTTTGGCACACCCTTCACATGTTTCGTGGCCCCAGAAGGAGCTCAACCGAAGGTCCGCCCAGTGGGGCCGCCCACATGAATCACCAACGCCCATATCGGCAAACCTTTCACACGTTTTTTTCTCGGGACCCCATAGGGAGCCCCACCGAAGGTCTCAACGCTACCGCCTGCATGCACCACCTACATCCTCACACGTTTCGTGGCCCCATAGGAAGATCCACTGACGAAGTCCCAATGGGACCGCCCGCATGCGTCACCCACACACACCCCATGTCGGCACACCCCTCACCCCTCCTCCATCGTGGCCCCATAGAGAGCTCCATCGTGGCCCCATCATAAGGAGCTCCACCGAAAGCCCCCTCCCACCGCCCACACGCGCCCGCCACAAACATTCGGCACACTCCTCGCACGTTTTTTTCGTGACCCCATAAAGAATTCCACCGAAGGTCCCAGTGGGGCCGCCCGCATGATGCGTCCACCACACCAATACCGGCACACATCTTAAACGTTTCGTGGCCGCGTGGGGCGCCCCACCGAATGTCCACTGGGACCGCCCGCATGCGTCACCCGCACGAATTTCGGTTAACTCCACAAAATGCACCAGAACCGCCGACCCCATGCGTCTTCCACCACACCCATGACGGAATACCCCTCACACGTTTCGCGGCCCTAAGCCTTCTTCAATGGCCTGCAAGCTGCTTCCTCATGTCGGCACCACCCTGACACGTCGCTTCGTGATACCATCGGGAGATCCACCGAAGCCCCCAGTGGCAAAACCCGCATGCCTCCCCCCACTGGCGCAGCACCCCTCACACATTTTTTCGTGGCCCTTTAAGGAGCTCACCGAGATCCTCAGTGGCTGGGGGGGCCGCATGCCTCCCCACCACCCATGTCGGCACACCCCTCACACGTCGTGGCTCCATAGGGAGCTCCACCGAATGCCTCAGTGCTAGGGCCCACCACATGCCCTCCCCGCCCATGTCGGCACACCTCTCGCACGTTTTGGTGCCCGACAGGGAACTGAACCGAAAACATCCTCTTCCTCCTCCTCCTGCTCGTCCTCTTCCTCCTCCATTAACATCCTCCCCTTGCTGCTCGTCCTCGTCCTCGTCCTCGTCCTCCTCCTCCTCCTCCTCCTCCTCCTTCTCCTGCTCGTCCTCATCCTCCCCCTCCTCCATTGTCATCAACTCCCCCAGCAGGTGGGCCAGGACATGATCATCGCTGTGAGCGACATCAAGCACGCGCTGCTCTTCTCTGCCAAGCTCACGAAGGACCCGTCGTTGGAGCTGCAGATCCGCGCCAACAACTTCGTGGTGGTGGTCAATCCAACCGATAAGGAGCTGTCGATGACACCGTCTGACGAGCTCGCGTCTTTCGGCAAGGGAAACTTTAAAATGGTGAAGAAGGACGAGGAGCAGCCGGCCCAATCGTACCAGTTCTGTTTGAAAACCGAGGAGGACTTGGTTGTGGTGAACGGCGTTGTTACGACTGTTGGGCGCGCCGTCATTGCCCAACGCAAGCAGAAACCAGATGCCCAGGTGAGGTACCACAAATGCAATGTGGACGACACCAACCCAGAGAAGATGACGTTCGAGCAAACCCACAGGGTCGTGTTCGTATGTGGCGAGGCCCCAACGGAGACGAGCAAGGCTAACATCGCGAGCAAGCTGACCGTGGAGAAGTGGGCGCAGGCCAAGTCTGGCAGGATCCTCTGGCACTGCAAGTGGGGGCAGACGGTCAAAGGAGCCGAAATCTTGCCATCCACCTGCTACCTGCGGTGCGTTCGTCGTTGCCCATGGCAACTGCGTTCCCACCGCAACGCAGCGCGGTGGAACTGGTGAGATTTGGGCTTCGCGCAAGGGACTGAGCCCGGTGAAGCCTGCGGTGTTCCCGGTCGGCAACTTCAAGCTCAAGAAGGACGAGTGTCTCATCGTGCATGGCAGCATGAGCTAGGTGTCTTACAACCCCACGGACAGTCCTTGGACGGCATCATCATCGTTTCGTCGTTCATGGCAGGAGGGACCAGCATGGCCCCTAAGAGAACTCAGTAGTGTGCTCCCATCTGCTAGGCAGTTTTGCGATTTCCATGCCAGGTAGTAACGCACATGGTGTTCAGGAAACTTTGCGGTTTCTATGGGAGTTTGTCGTGTGCTACGGCAGCCAGCATGCTGGCTTTGGCTCCACCTCGCCAGTTTTCGGAGGTCTAGGCTTTTTTTCTCTCGGTAATCTTTCAAGTTCTTCAGTCTCTCTCAAGTCTCAGGTTCAGTGCAGGGTTCAAGTTCTCTCAAGACTCAGGTTCAGTACACGACGACCTCTAAATCCCTACCTCCATCCCTAAATTGTTTCTGTCGAGCGCGATGTAGGCGACAGCCCAAGGGCCAAGGGGCGCAGTGTGCTGCTTTACTGTGCAAGGCTCGCTCGTCGCTGAGTGACTGCGCGCGATAGAGGGCTTGATGAAAACATGTTTTTTACTTTCCTTGTGGAAGGGGCTCACCACGTGGTGATTGTCTTGAGAGTGCGACTTGTTACGCACTCATCTGGAAGATTAGCCCTGGGAGTGAAAGGATGACAACCAGGATGAGGGTCGAACTCAATGCTTGGTGGGGGTCGCCAATGTCTGGGCACTCGTATCGGGCCCTGGTCCTTTACCCCCCCTCCTGCTTTCTGCGAAAGCCCTGCTCGCCCCGCCCTGCTTGACCCCTCCTCCCTGCTCTCCAAATCCCGAGCACTACCCCATGTGTGTTGTAAGTAGCTTCAGATTTCCAGAGTAGCTTTCTAAAACCGAACCCCAGGGAACAACACATTGAGCGACACCTGTTGCACAGCCATTCGGTCGTCAAGCAAATCAGCAGTGACGAATGCAATCGGACAAGCCCCAGTCTGAACCAGCGAGGGCACATCCATGGCAACAAGTTGATGGCACCTCGTGGTTTCAAGGCCAGCATCCTGGAGGACACATGCCGGCATTGAGCGGCAACCAGATGGGGTGCCCACTTGGCCAATCATTCCTGCCGGTGCAAAGTGGATCAAATACATAGCGCACGATAAGTCCATACACATACAAGGTTTCCAAAGATTTAATTGCATGTTATTCTGAATAATCTCAGAAGCACAGAAGTTTTGATTTATTCAAGTCTCCCTCTCTGAGACACAGTTCTACTCAGCTCGCTCGCGCCACTATGTATGGCACAATGGCACGTGCATGTGTGTTGAATTGTGCTGCCTCCCCTGAGGTGCCCGAGTACGACGACTGGACCTTCGACGTTGGCTATCGCAGTCCATGTATCCCGATTCCCCAAGGAAGATCCTCGACACAGCCTGCTATGACCCAAGGTGTTTCGACGTCGGCTACACTTTCGCCCCAGGCTGCGTTCAATGCGACAGGGGATTATCGCGAGCGTGTTTCAGATGCGACTGAGCCTGCCTGGATCACTGCTGAGAGCCTTAGCCAAACGTACCCGGGCCAGAAGAACGAAGCTACCTCGATGAACGCAAACATGCTGAACCCAAACGTGGCCCAGTACAAGTGGCAGCCAACACCTGAGGATGGTCAGGCGGGCATGCGTTTGCGCAAGTTTTTAGATGCAAATCTGGCAGCCGAAACTGGACTAACACATGGTTGTAGTCCCATTTAGCAAGAGTGGTGGGTGGGCCTTGGGGCAGCTGTGTTGGTTGTTTCCATGCAATTGGGTTTCGAACATGTGTTCGGGCAATTTTGGCTGCTTCCAGAACGCTAGGGAAGTGCGCCGCAAGATGCGGAAGCAGCAAAAGATGCAGGCTCAGCAGGCTCAGCAGCCTCAGCAGAGTTAGCATGCGTAGCTCTCTGCTGGCTTGTGGCTGTGGGGTGCGAGGCGAGACCACGCGCTGGGTGCGCGAAGCCAGGCGAGCGCCGGGTGCGTCCTGGGCAATGGTAAATCCTATCCTCATCCTCCTTCTCCTCAGCATCACCCTTTTCCTCGCTCACTCCTCCTCCTCCTCCACCTCCTAGCCAGCTAGCTGGCTTGTGCGATCGTTCGCTCTGGGAGCGTCTTGCAAGCCTCTTCGGGCCATGGACATAGGTGGCGACGACGACTAAAGCGACGGGGGATGGGGTCTGGCGCCAGTGGACGTCCGAGAAGCTGATTCCCTGAACAGTGCCTGCACCTAGGGGCTGATTCACCGAAGTATTGGGGGACGTATTGGAAGCCTGGAGGACGTATTGGAAGCTTCTGGGGGGGCTCTCCTCTTGGAGCTGTCTTGGGGCGATCCTGGGGCTCTCTTGGGTACCTCTTGGGAGCTTTAGGGGCCCTCTTGGGGTCATCTTGGAGACCATCAGTAAAAAAGAAACGAATCCTTTCTCACCCCCCCCCGTCGGGGCGTCCAAATGAATCTCTCGGGGCCCTCTTGGGGTCCTCTTGGGGCCCTCTTGGGCCCCTTTTGGGGCCCTCTTGGGCCATCTTGGAACCATCTTGAGTTGTTCGCTCAGTGTTTGCAATATGATGTTGGCCTCTTGGGGGGCTCCTTGGGAGGCTCTTTGACTACTTGAACCCGTCTCGGGGCGGTCTCGAACTGACTTGTGTTATCTCTTGCACCACTCGAGGCAATCTCAATCGATAACCTCATCTTGAAACGGAGCCACCGCGTATCCGTGTAAGTTGGTTCGAATCTTGGGCGCCCTAACGCCTCGCACCACCCCCCTGTCCATGCCCAGGGGGTAGGGTGAGGTAAACCCCTCCCTGAAGAGGAACATGGGGGGGGGTGGAAAATGAACATATCTAAACCAATCACGTCCTGGGAACATAACTCGATGTTGTGGCCTCCTACGCCTGGGGGGGTCCGCCTTCCACGCGTGTATATATATAGTCCCCACGCGGTGGCCGTAGCGTTCGCTTACGAACCGTGTGTAGTGTTGTGCATAGTGTACATAGTGTCGTTTCGTTGTTGAATTTGGTGGTGAGTGCAGCCGAGCTTGCTGCCAAAGGAGCTCCCCACGGTGAGCAAGATGGAGGATGCAAACCTGTGCACCGCTCATGTATCGTAAAAGCTATCCTCCTGCTCCTCCCTCCTGCTGCTGCCTCCTGCCTCCTCCCTCCTCCCTCCTCCTCCTTGTCCTCGTTCCTCCTCCTCCTCCTCCTCCTGCTGCTCCTCCTCCTCCTGCTGCTCCTCCTCCTTCTCCTCTTCCCTCCTCCCTCCTCCTTTTCCTCCTCCTCCTCATCATCATCCCTCTTCCTCTTCCCTCCTCTCCTCCTCCTCCTCCTTCTCCTCCTCCTCCTCCTCATCCTCCCTCCTGCCTCCTCCTCGGCCTCCCTCCTCCTCCTCCTCCTCCTCCTCCTCATTCTCCTCCTCCCTCCTCCCTCCTCTTCCTCTTCCCACCAATCATATATATATATATGTACACATATCCACCAATGCAAACAGCGAGGTCGAATCCAGTTCAATAAGGCTCTTCTCTAAAAAACATAAGGCTCAAGAGGCAAGAATGTTGCTTCGAGGCCTGGGCATTTGGTAGTCCCCAAACGTGGTGGTGACAACACCTGGCGGTGAGTCTCGGGCGATTTGGTGTCACCACCCGGTTTGGGGACTCGTGCGGTTTTCCGAGGATGTCCTGGACACTGGTGGGTCCAGGAGTCACAAAACCCGGTGGTGACCCCGCGTCCCCAAACCCAGCGGTGACCTTTTTGGGGATTCCAGGTCGCCACCTGGTATCTCACCATCCGGTTTGGGGGTTCCCAAGGCAGGCACGCAAGACGCCATACACCCGGGGGAGCGTGGGGCACAGGATGGGAACAATCTGCAAACGAACTGCAACACAGAACGGGCTGGACGCTGCGCTACGTCGACAGTAGCTCATACACCCACGGGGGCGTAGGGCACAGGATGGGAAACATCCTGCAAGAACTGCAACACAAGACGGGCTGTACGCTGCGCCGCGTCGACGGCTCCGCCGTGCGGGCAAACCGCCCTCGGGAGGCTCCGCAGCAAGGCTTCGAGGGGAGCCGGAAGCCTCGGGCCCCAGGGCTGCGAGGTCCACACGTGGCCACTGCCCCTGGCCAGGCCCGACCCTGGCCCAGGAGCGGCGTACGTGGCCTCATGGTATGGCCAGGGAAGCACATGCACCTCCTGTTATGTCGGGCCTGTCCTCCTACAAGGTGATTTTCGGCGAAAAATGAAAAATAGTCAAACAACACCCCGAAATGGTCAAAACATGTTTTAAAACATGTTGTCCCCTGACTACGTATTTGTTTTTACTATTTTTGAATATTCCTCCTGTAGAGGGACAAGCCTAACTTAAGGCTCCTGGGCCCATGATGGGGTCCAGGCTCGCCGAGCCGCCACGCGGCCGCGAGGAGTGCCAGCGACGCCCGAGAGGAGCCGAGCCCAGACTCCCTCGCGTCGTGAGAAGATCACTTCGTGAGATTATCTGTTATGTTAAACCTCTGGGGGCTCTCGTCTGGCCCCGAGACTAGACGAGCGCGTTCCACTACTCGCAAAGTAACTACTCGCAAATGGCCTGGATCCGCCGCGGGGGATCCACGATTAATCACATCAAACCGGACATGTGTTTTTTTCGCACGTTTGCGAGGAGGCACCTTGCGAGTAGTGGAACGCGCTCGGTGATGATCGGGAAGTCCTGGTGGAATGGGTCCAGCTCCAAGGGCTCCCAACTTCGCGCTTCGCGCTTCGCGCTGCGCGAAGCGCGAATAACTTCGCGCCCTCGAGTGCGCCCTTGCAGCTCTGGGGGTCCACGTCGAAAAGCATAGCGCCCGGGGTCTGGCAGAGGGGGGGACTGGCTGGAGGGGGGGAGTAATGAGCTACAGTCGACGGTGCAACGAGGACAGATCGGCCATAGGCCCCCCAGGCACTCCTGGGCGGTGTGGGGGCCCATGCGATGATGGGTCGATGTTCCCCCCCCACACCCCACTGCCCAACGCCAGAATCCTTCCGTCGCGTTGCTGTTACGACGCAAGGATGTC